AGGAATGCCACAGAGGTAACATTATAAATGGCCATGCATTTCAGAAGATTACAATGCTTCACATATCAATAAACAGTCACAGATAACAATAAATCAATATTTGGCTGCTCCTTGAGAGAGATGATGCAATAAGACAACCCATTCAAGACCTAAAAAAAAATTTCTACCATTTATAAACTGCAAAGTAATAGCTTTCTCAAGGAACTAGCACACTCACGCCAATAATAGCGGAATTGAACAATTGAAAATTTTCAAAACACGAAGCAGTGTCTAGAATACAGACCATTAATAAAAATCAGAATACCATGTTTAACACACAATATACAAAACATAATTTGTGCCCACTTACATGAAAAGACAAACAGATAAATGCCCACCGTAAGGTCATCCAAAAATCAGAATGAAACAGAAGCTATAGTATTACTGAGACATGGATTTCAGTAGATTATTCATTACAATGCTTCACACACTATATACAGAAAACAAAAGCATTTATACAACAAAAGAAGTAATATTTGACAATTAAAGGAGAGAGATTTAAACTGGAAAGGAACTAATAAGACCGACACATTCAACACCAAACAAGATGATAAACTTTCTAATGGAGTATCTATTTTCCCATTCGTAAAGGAATAATTTTCTCGAGAAACTAGCATCTGAACAATGGCGATAACATATTTCAGATGAAATCGTTCCGTACCACGAGAGTGTCGTCAGTGTAATCGCCCATGAACTCCTTGAGCTTGTCCTTTACTCGGTCCCGCAACTTCTCGGCTCCATCTCCGATGAAATTATTAACCCTAAAGATCCGATCATCGACGCCATCAATGCTTCCCATGTCCCCAAACGCACTGGAAACCCTAATCGGTTGATTCTTTCGATCTCGCGAAACCCTAACACGGAGAAATCGATCGAACTCCTTCGGAATGATTTTCCCTGGAAAGGAACGGAAATTAGCGGACAGCCGTGGCGGCGATGGCGGTGGCGGAGAGATTTTCGGAGAATTTCATGGAAAAACAAAACCCCGGCTATTGGGGCAGTGAGTCGCCAGTTGAGTTGCGAATGAGTATTTGTATGTCTGTGGGAATGTAATAGAAATTTACCCAATAACATTTTATTAATACTTTTTTTTCTAGATTAGAGAAGAAAAAACATTTTTTTTCTCATAGGATTAATTAATACTAAAATATTTCATCTTAAAGAAAAATTATACTGAGTAGAAAATTAATAAATACCCCTCAAAAAAAGCGAAAATAATAAATATTTGGTTTCATAAATAAATTAGGCCTCGTTCACTTCGTGAATTCGAGTTTTCAATTCGAATTGAGATGTTACATTTTTTTAGAACTTTTTACTGTAGCAGAAAAAGTTAGATGTGTCATTTTCTGAGAGCTTTTTACTGTAGAAATCTAAAACTGAAAATTCAAATCGATGAAATGAACGAAGCCTGAGATATTTCTATTTGATATTTTCAAAATGAAAAAACAAGAGATATTTCTATTTGATAGTAGAAAATGTTTGAATAGAGGAAATAATAGTATAATAGTTTTTGAGAAAAATATTTTTCCATAGAATTAATGCCAAATATTTCATCCTTGAAAATAAAATAAAAAAATTATATTTCCTCTTAAAACAATTTTTAGAATTTAAAATACTTAGGTATCGTTCATTTCACCGATTCGAGTTTTCAGTTTTAGGTTTCTACAGTAAAAAATTCTCAAAAATATCATATATAACTTTTTTTTTTGCTACAGTGAAAAGCTCTCAAAAAATGTCACATCTTAACTCAAATTCGCGAAGTGAATGAGGCCTTAATATTTCTTATATGCAATATATTTTCCTTTGTGCGTTTGCCGTTTGGGTGGGGCTAAAGGAAAAGGTTCCTTTCCTTAATTACTTGTTTGAGTTTCCTACTTTGTTCTTTTTATTAAAAAAGAAAAAAGAAAAAAGAAAGAAACATTTCATGGGAACAAAATTCCTTTCTTTAATTACTTAAAAATCTTTTATTTGAGATATTTTATTTTTTAAAAATTGACTAAATTGAGTATTTAACCTGACTAAAGAGTGCAACTATTTTGTTTAGAATATTGTAAGAAACCAAAACAACTACTTTTTGGAGCACATTTGAGAAAATTTATCAACTTACTATCGAATTTCCAACTATATATCTGTAAGGCGTAAATGTATTGAATATAAAAAAAAAAATTTTAAATTTCTCCATTCTCAAAAACATCGTGTATAAATTGAAAAAAAAACAAGAAAAAAGTTAAATATTGTGGAAGAGAGAAGAGTTGATTGGAAGAGGCCGGACCGTCAGAGTTAGCAAAGCCCACTGCAGGCCCAACTAAAAAAATCTGAATTGTGAAGAAGTACCCATTGTAATTTGCCAGGTGTATAAGCTAAGTTAAGCTCGGAAGTAGCAGATGAAGACCGTCCAGCGTCTTCTTGAACTAGTAGTCTATTTAAGTTGGAGTTTCTTTTCAATTTTTATTTTATACGTTTAAATTCATAATTTTAATTTTAAAATATTTTTTTTATAAAAAAATTTAAATTTTAAAAATTATTATTTAAACGTATAAATCAAACAGGCTATTTTCTCTTTCCCTCTCCGACAATTTTTCCTCCTCGCTTTTCAGGTTCATTCTTTTCTCAGTTTTTTTTTTTATTTATTTATTTACTCTCTATATATTGTCATGAAATTCTTTATATTTGTTGTTTTTCTGGAGAAAATATTGTGGAAAGGAAAAAAGTTTGTCTTTTGTTTTAGCTTACATGAATTATTATAGCGATTTTTATGCATGGGTTAGAGTAATGATTATGATACATGAACACGCGCTCTAATTCTTAATTTTGTGCTTGCCTAAGGAACAATATTGTGGTTATTAGTCCTCGGTTTTCACCTCTTAGTTATGGGCTATATAAGATCAATCCATATTTAAGTTTTTAATTTGAGTTTATATGTGATTTTATATTAAAATTTTTTACTGTAGTAACAAAATTAAATGTGACTGTTTTTTAGAATTTTTTATTATAACAAAACTTAAATCGGTGAAATGAACGGGACCTTAAAATGTTTAAAAAAGAACCCTCAATTTGGTGTCACTCTTTATCAATGCAGTCGCCCTACCAACAGTAGCCTTCATTGAAAATGAATGTCATTCAATGGAAGTTAGTAATACGCTACAGCTACAGTTAAAACAAAGAATTTAAAGCAGCTTTTATAAAAATGGAATACTACCTAAACTGTATCATGTAGACATATTTGAATTTTTTTTTTTTTTTACAATAAAAAAGTTCAGAACAATTTGTAACAACGGTTTAAATTCAGAGTAATCTCATTCAAAACATGTTTTAATCTGGTGATCAAATTGTGTTCACTCATATCAAAAAACTGATAAATAGATCATTAAACTAAATCAATACAAGAAAAAACGAAAAAGCAAACAAAAATATATAAAAAAGCCATCATCAACAAGACCCCAATAACCGGACAACAAGAAAACTGAAACAATCTCCAACCCTAAAAATCCAGAATAATAAGAATAATTAATTTTCGGCTGCGGTCTTTCAAGAGTATTATGGTAGAATATCAAATTTTTTATAAAAAAAAAAAAAATCAACAAAAATAGAGACTAGATGACATAAATATAAAATTATTGGATTTTGGTGTCATTACGTAATTTTCTCATCGAATTTATGACGAAAAATGAATTTAAATTTGCCTCGTGTTTAAGCTTTGTTGTGCTCGGAAGTAGCGTATCAATCTTGGACTAGTAGTAGTTAGTAATTACATATAAGATTTTACCTCTCTGTCGTGATTTGTCTCATACTCTTTCCTCTTTGCTTTTCTGGTTCTTCATGTTTGTCAGAGCACATATTTTTCAAACAAGGAACCAAACATGATCACTCTTTTATCTAATGTACCATTTGGCTTTTCCTGATCAAATGCTTGTTTTGAGTTTTGTTTAATAGGCAGTCTCGTGGTTATTTATTCTCAGAATAAATAGAATATTTACCCTTAAAAATGTATGAGTTTAGAAATTTACCCGTTATTCTTGATAAATATTATTTTATTAGTGTAATTATTTGATTAAAACGATTATGAATTAAGAATAAAAATAAAAATCATGACTTATGTACTTTTAAAGAGTATTTATTAAGATTATCTTATTTATCAAATTAAATTTAAACTTATCTCTCGGAGATTTTCTTTTTTTTTTAATTATTTTATGTTATTTTATTTATGATAATCCTTTTCTCTTGAATGTAAACAAGTAAATTTCTGGCTTTGCTTGTAAATTTCAACGCACACATATGCCTATCTGGCTATCTTAAATAATGGGCATCGCTGATTAGCCAAAACTAATAATAATAATAATAATAATAATAATAATAATAATAATAATAATAATAATAATAATAATGGGCATTGCTTAAGTTGGTGTCAATTATGTATGATTATCTTGTGGCCCAATGTAGGTCAAAGCTTTGAGATTATGGTTTGCTAATAATATGTATTAATTGTCCTGAATTAAGTCCTTAGGTTCATGTACACTTTTTTTTTTTTTTTGTTAATACGCTCTTTGGGAATTTCCTCTTGCAGGTCTACTTTGAATTAGAATATAAAATATGAACTTCCTCAAAAGAGAAAAAAAAAACCATATAATATGAAAGCAGGTGTAAATTTATTTAAACTCTTATTTTATAGGGGCCTGATAAATGAGCCCGTTTAATTTATTAATTTAAGTTAAAATATAATTTTATGTTATAATTTTTTATTGTAACAAAAAAATTAAATGTGACTGTTTTTAAAAAATTTTTACAATAATAAATTTTAAATTTTAAATTTAAATCGGTAAAATAAACGATCATAAATTTATTTTGTGCAATATTGTTATATGATCTTATTATTTTAACCTCAATATACCAGTTTTTTGGGGCCCACATCACAAAGCATCCTCATCCAGTGGGAGTCAGCCAAACAGGTTTCAGGTGGTGGAGTTTTGGCCACGAGCGACCTTTTTTTTTTCTTTCTATTTTTTATGTTTCTTTTAATTTTATTTAAATTTTTTTCTCCCACTTACTTATGGAGCAGTGTTCATTCGCCACGTATTGACGCTTGCAATCTAACCGGAACCGTCCGATTCGTAGTGTTTGACTTTCTGAGGACAAAGCCACATCATGGGCCCTAGTCAAGTGGTGGGACCCACCAGACCACCGCCTTTTTCCTCTCTGTTTTTTTTTAAATACATAAAAAGATCGCTTCGATTTGTGCACGTGTGTTGTGGGGGAACGAAAACAACTTCAGCCTGTCGTTTTCTAAAGAAATTTCAAAATGGCTTTTTTCCAAAAAGAAAAAGAAAAATAAAATAAAATAGAGCAAAAATTTACAGGTAAAAAATACTTTAATCCTTCACGATATATGAATCCTACATGTAAACGTAAAGTTATACTAAAAAAAGTAATAAAAATTTAGTTTTGCAAAATGATTTTATAAAAATATATCAAGAAGAAAATTGTTGTTGCACACCAATTGTTTACATTTAAAACTTTAAGAGTTTGTTCGGTTACATTTTTAAGTTATAGTGACTTGAGTATGGAATTTGAGTTATAATTTAAGTTAAAGTTGTAACTTGAGTTTGTATTTGAATGTGCTCATTTGAGTTATAATTTTAATTGAGAATCTATTTGAGTTTGTGTTTGAGTTGATCAAAGCTTGAATTTGTATTTAAATAGTATTTTAATAAAAACTCAATGGTAATGAAAAATTTTAATAGGGTATATGGGTGAAGTTTTATTCGTTTCTTTGTTGTGAACGCATAGAAAAAAATCATCTCAATCAGAATTAAAACGAAAAAATTATGACATTTTTAATAATAGAAAAAATATTATTCATTAACTTGAGTTTGAGTTCAAGAACTTGAGTTGAAGGGAAAATTTGAACTCAGATTTTAGCCACAAACTCAAGTTAAAACTCAAACTCAAACTCAAATTTTACAAACGAACATGAACTTAAATAAAGTAGTAACTATAGTTCAAATTTTTTGTTGAGT